GAGGTGGGTAAAATGAGAATCCGGATTGTTGTTGGGGGCAATATGCTGACTCTGTAAACGGCTTAGAGAGGGCTGAAAGCCCTATGAAGCGGTATATAAGTCTAACTGCTATTGCTATTGCTATATGACTGCAATTTATGACATTTTTGCCAGAAACCATTGTATACTACTGCTTTCCAGCAAAAAATGCCCACTGCAAATGGGTTTGCTTATCAACTGCTATTCACTTAACCTCCACCGCATTAATTTAACAAAAACCACAAAATAATGTCATAAAAATTGAGTTGGTCACAGAGGTGCCTTGACTTTCAACCATCATGACCTACAATGGGTCATGATGTACAATAAGTTGAGGGCTACACACATACATTTACACACACACACACACACACACACACACACACACACACACACACACACATGCATACATACATATATACATACATACGCATATGATTACAGCTCAGTTTGTTGTCTCATGGTCCAGCCTTTTCATTAGCAACAATAAAGCTGTTAAACTTTGCTGTTCTAGCCCATTTGAAGTCTTATGAAAGCATAACATTTACTTGATCATACTTTCACTGCCAAGGGAAGGGATATGAGGGATTTTCATTCTCAGAGGCCAAAACCACTTCACTTACCATATTTTTCAGAGTATGAGGTGAACCTTTTTCCCTCAAAAAAGAGACTGAAAATCTGGGTGCATCTTATACACTGAATACAGCATTTTTTGCCTCCTGAAACCCTGCCCCCTTCACCAAAATAGCCATGCATAGCCTTCAGGAGGCTTTCAGAGTGCTCCTGGGGGCTGGGGAGGGCAGAAATGAAGGAAAAACTGGCCATTTTTGCCTCTTCAAAATCGTCTTATACTCCAGTGTGTCTTATACTCCAAAAATACAGTATCTTGGGTACTCTGGCAGTGCCCTTGCTAAGAAGTGCTGTTTATCATTTAAGCAAAAACATGTTTTATATCCACCCTTTTAGCAAGATGGCTTTATGGCAGTTTAATCCACTATGTGGATACATGAGACAAAATGATAAAATATGTGTTTTCACGCTGTTCGGAAAAAGTGTCCTAATCAAACCCAAAGTAAGAATTATTTCACTTTGGATTTTCTAAGCCAGATTAACAGAGGTTTAGTACATACTATATTAAAAGTGGGAACACTTTCAGGCACAACAAAATCTGTCTTACAAGTGTTGGATCCAGTAGGAGCCCAACGTACTCCCAAAATTTAGATTTAGAATTCTGAATAGCCACATTTTCCCACACAAATACCACTTCAGTCTGAATACTTCAAGGCCCTGCTTTTTCTTCTTATAGTTTTTTTTAATCTTTAACCAGGTTACCATTGAACTACTCTTCAACAAAGAATCATTCCTTTTAATATAAAGTCAACATCTGCTGGTTACCTCAAAATTAGGTTAACTTGTTGTAATGAATCTGCCAAGGCCTGCCCTTGGACATATAGTGAATTCAAAATGCAGCAGTGGGACCTTTGCTCGATGTTTCTCAGCAATATGTGATATCTACTCATTACCCTCTGTAGATTTCTGAGTTAAATTCAAGGTGCTGGTGTAAAAATACAAATCCATATAAAACCTTTGGAACCCAGCTATTCGAAGGAATAACCTTCCCCTATGTGGTGAATTATTGATTGTCTGATTGTTCTCTTTTTATGGGTGGTGGGCAAGAGACAAATGATTGTCAAAAATCAACCAGGAGAAAAGTGGTATCATTTTTTGTAAAAATTCTCTCCCTGTTATAATTAGGATAGGTCCCTCTCCAGCTTGCTTGAAGACAACATTAAATACTTATTCTTTATACTCAGAATCTGTTATTTTAGACCAGGACTGTCAAACTCAAGGCCTGCGGGCTGCATCCAGCCCACGAGATGCTTAGATCTGGCCCACAGGGCTGCCCTGGAAACAGCAGAAGACTGGCCCATGACACCTCTGCCAACAAAAATGCCCCTCGCAAGCTCTGTTTTCACTGGTAGAGGGTTGCAGAAGGCCGTCACAGCCAGAAACAGAGCTCAGGAGCCCGTTTTCACTGACAGAGACCCGCGCTGGCCACACCCTCTGCCCTGCACCCCAGAAGGTCAAACACAACCCTGACACAGCCCTCAATGAAATCAAGTTTGACATCCTGTTTTATATTGTAATTTGGATACTTTATTATAGCTGTGAGTTTAGTGATGTTGCTCTGGCTATTAACTGCTATGGGTTTTGCTAGCCAGGATGAATGGAAGAGAAATATGTGAATAAATGAAGATACCTGGCTACTCCTGTAGGTCTGTAAGATATTGCTAGCACATTGATTCAGTAAAGGATACAATAGAATTTGCTCTGCGTGTCTTATTCTGTAGTGTAATGCACCTAATTATATTGTAATATTAGCAGAATGTGAAAGATTTTGTTATGTTCCTTTATAATGACCACGTTTGTCCCCTTTAGGTAAACCAGCAGGTTATGGAGGCAGTAGGCGTTCCTCTTCTACTAGGGGAATAGTGGATGAATGCTGTTTCCAGAGCTGTGACCTGATACGGCTGGAGATGTACTGTGCTCCTGTCAAGCCGCCTAAATCTGCACGATCTCTACGTGCTCAGCGACACACTGATATGCCTAAAGCACAAAAGGTAGCTGAAGTGTGATGAAATTTAATCTGATTATTTGTTACATATGAGGATTTTCAGCATTGCTCCAAGCTTGGGATGGACATATGGTTGCCCAGTACCAGAAATCCAAATTTGATATCTATGGGCAGCTTTCATTTCCAAAATACTGTAGTCTTCCAATATGAAATAGAAATGGAACAGAAGACACCAGAGGAAGAGAGCCATAGAGATAATTGTATATTCCATATCTCTTTATCTCATCTTTGTCTTTGCCTTCTTTTTTTTTCTCTATTAGTAGCTGCTGATAAATGACCAATGTTATTCTGAAACATCCTGGCTTATTGTAGCAGTTCCCCACTTTGTTAAAATTAGCCACATTATTTCCATATTCCTATCTAGCTTTCTTTCTTCTATCCCAAAAGACTTAATACTTTTGCTGAGAAATAAGTCATTGGGTACTTCAGAAATTGTTGCCCTCTGCTTATGATATACTCTCTAAGGTAGGGGTGTCAAATTCAAGGCCTGGGGGACAGATCTGCCCCCCTGGGGTTCTTAGATCTGGCCACAGAGCTATCCTGGAAAGAGCAATGGACTGGCTCGCGGTACCTCACTGGCAGAGGGTTGCAGGAGGCCATCACAGCCAAAAATGGAGCTCAGGAGCCTGTTTTTGTTAGCAGAGTGCTTGGACCTCCACAAGAGCCTCCCCCGACATGAGTGACACCAAGCTGAACACACCCACTCTGACTCCCCTGCGGTCAAATACAACACTGATGTGGCCCTCAATGAAATCGAGCTTGAAACCCCAGCTCTAAGGATTGTTTATATCAGGGATGGGTTCTGGCTTCTTTTACTGCTGGTTCACTCAGGGCTGCGCTTCGGGTAGGCACGCTTGATGCATGCTACTCACGCATGCGCAGAAGTAAAAAAATGCTTCTGCGTATGGGCAGAAGCAAAAAAACCAGATGGTGGTGCCTATGGCGGTGCTGATAGAACTGGTTCAGGTGCATATCCGGTCAAGTTACTACCTACTCGGCCAAACCATTCCGAACTGGTAGGAACCCACCTCTGGTTTATATGTGTGTTGGTGTCATATTTTGTGTATAAGTGATGCAGCTTTAGCTACTTAATGTCTTGTACTCATCCTTAAACTTTGCAAAGGATAGTTTACTAAAAGTCTCTAGTCCCAACTAACTTTCATGAACTTTGTTGTTCATTTTTGTATTGCCACCACCCTTTCCTCCATGTTTATGAATGTCTGTGGTTGACCAATGTGTGACACTGAATGCTGGACTAGAAAGGACATAGGCTGATCCAACTCCTAGTACTCTCTGTTCTTATGTTCTTTTCGTGGGCTTCTCTCCAATGTAGTCATCTCAAACTAAGTCTCACTAAAATCAATGGGATTTACTTGTGCTGCCTACACATGGGGGATTAAGCCTTGATCTTACAACTGATTTTTATCTGAACATTTTAGAGTCAGTTTTACTTTTTAACATTTCCCCAGGCTTTAGAGTGGTCTAGAATTTAAATTAGTAAAATAATAAATTGGCTTCTTTTAGCATTCTTTCAAATTCACGAGGCTTCAGATTTGGCCTTTAGGGCAGTTTGGCTACCATTATAATAAGGCTTCACTTATTAGTTGGGGTGCAAGGAGATCTTATTATGGAAATCAACTGATGGCATAAGACCAAGGTCAGAAGGGATTGTAGTCTGTTAATGCTATTAGCAGATAGTCTGATGAGAATAATGCCAGAAAACAAACCAGATGCAAACCGTCTCAGGTACTAATGTTAGTCAGAAACAGGCTTAATAGCAATAGCAGTTAGACTTATATACCGCTTCATAGGGCTTTCAGCCCTCTCTAAGCGGTTTTACAGAGTCAGCATATTGCCCCAACAACAATCCGGGTTCTCATTTTAACCACCTTGGAAGGATGGAAGGCTGAGTCAACCCTGAGCCGGTGAGATTTGAACAGCCGAACTGCAGAACTGCAGTCAGCTGAAGTAGCCTGCAGTGCTGCATTTAACAACTGCGCCACCTCAGCTCTTGAAGCGTTTGTGACCAGAGGTTCTACTGTATTCAAGTCA